GGGGAAAAAAAGAAAGAGGCTTAAGAAATCAGGAACCGTAACGGTGTTTATTTTGTTTAGAAAACTTTATTCCTTTATTTCTACTGTGCTTGGGATGGTTCTTATTTTTTCCCCCTCTTGCAAACGGTTTCCGTATGACCAAACACATAGATTTGGTTTGTAAAAATCCCTTTAAAAACCCCACTAATTCGGGAAGGCGCTCGCCCAGAGTACAGGCTGATCGGAACAGGGAAAGCAAAGTTTGTAGGAGTGGAAAACCAGAAAGAATTACAGCAGGAGAAAGAGAGAAAGTGTTTATCAAAGAGCTGAGGCCATTCTCTTTTCTAGCCAGATATAATTATCAATTCTTAAGCAGCAAAGGACAAAAGAGGAACTGTCTAGACTATCTCACTTACAAGATATTGATTGTCCCAGTGGTAAACTGGTTAGTATAAGTGTATTTGGTTGAAAAGGTCATGAGTTTTAACACCTGGCAGAAAGCTATTCAACCTTGACATAAGTCAAATTATTGCAGTGTTGCTGAAAAAGACTTTGTAAGGCTCAGCTTTTCACCTCAAGGATGTTTGCTTTTGACTCTATGGAAGGATCCCCTGTTCAGGGCAAAAATTGCATGTATTTTATTCCTTCTGAAGGAAGGAATGTGGCCTATCTGGTATCCCATTTTTATAATAATAATAATAATCTCTTCTTTTTTAAAAAGTAACTGATATGGAGAGTATTCAATCTACAGGGGGCAATTACTTGCTCTTGTACCAATGAGTGATGTAGTTTTAATAAATATGGTATTTAAAATAAATTACATTTAGATTGCTCTACTATGTTCTTAAAGGGATGCAGTGGCTCAGTGGCTAAGATGCTGAGCTTGTCAATCAGAAGGTCGGCAGTTCAGCGGTTCGAATCTCTAGTGGCGCGTAATGGGGTGAACTCCCGTTACTTGTCCCAGCTTCTGCCAACCTAGCAGTTTGAAAGCATATAAAAAAATGCAAGTAGAAAAATAGGGATCACTTTGGTGGGAAGGTAACAGTGTTCAGTGCACCTATGGCATTTAGTCATGCTGGCCACATGACCACGGCGACATCTTTGGACAGCGCTGGCTCTTCAGCTTAGAAACGGAGATGAGCATCGCCCTTAGAGCCGGAAACTACTAGCACGCATGTGCGGGGGAACCTTTACCTTTACCTTACTACATTCTTGCCTGGGTCTTGCCCATTTTGAGCTACGGACATTTGCATTGTCGTCAAAATTCAGAAAAAGCTCTTGCAGCAGCTTGTGTACACCAATAATACATTTGCAAAGATCAGAGGTGGCTATTGTGACCCACTGTGATATTATGTGGGAACGGCCTTGGGAGACCGAGCCAGAAAATGCTGCTTAGAGAATGGCCAGATAAGATCCCAGCATATCCCACAGGCTAAATAGAGGCCAACATGCTTAGATGAGACCTTCTCTAATTTCTCAATCTGTAAAGGAGACAGTGAGAGATTTGTATTTTCAGACTTGCAGGATTGATGTCAGACTTACCTGATAGACCAGAAAGGAAATATAGCAAGATAACCTAATTCTATTTTATTCTGAAGCTACATGAGCAGAATCTTGCAAGTCTAAAAGTAGGGCTCTTTTTGCCATCTCCTTTATAGTCCAGGAAATGCCACCACTTCCAAAACATCAGAGGACATCAACTAACCATATATCTGTGCGCCAAGATAAGAAAAGCTTCAACAGTAATACTATGATAGAGTTTTTCTCCGATATGTGTGGTGTTCTTTTCCAACAAACCAAAGTTTCGACAGGAAAAAAAAAAAAGTTATGTAGAGATAGATGCTATCATTAATGAATCTGAGAATGGAAGCTGTTAGTGAAGAAAGAAAAACTTTCAGGCACCAATTTAGATAAATTATCCGATGCTTCATCTATCAACAGATCAATAAATAAATTTGACTAAAGGGAAATGCACTGAATTATGTACCAAAGCACAATGCAGCATTTAAAGCTAATGGCTTTGAATTATCGAGAACTTCAACCATTTATCAAAGTGCAAAGAAGCAATTATTTTGGAAATATTGTTCCTTTTTATTTATCACAAAGCCATTTCATTCCTTTTAAATATTGCTACTTTGGTTGCTTAAAAGAAAGGTTTCTGAAATGATGGAAAGCCAAGGAACACAGCGGTAAGGAGCTGATCAGATGACCCAGACTAGATTCTTGTTGTGTAGCAAAGACCAGTTTAGTAAAACAATTCTGCTTGGGAATCTAATGTATTCCTTTCTTTAGCAGCTTGCTATAAATATACGATAGATGCAGCAGCCAATAAGATTAATCTATGTATGTTTTAGGAACACAGGTTTTATTCCATCTTTGGATAAGCTCTCAATTCCTTTCCCAATTGAGGTACGCCCTCACCTCCTTCTAAAAGAAGTTGCAGTGGCTCCTGGGTTTACACAATCCCAGGAAAATGGTTTTTCAAATTGGTGGGGCCAGCCATGCCTCCATGTTCCACCCCTACCAGGCAGGGGTGGGACTCAGAAATTTTAGCAACCGGTTCTTTGCCCGGTCGCTGGGTGGGCGTGGCCTACTCGGCCTCCTGCACCACTGGGTGGGGGGGCATTTTCATCCTCCCCAGACCCCGGAGATTTTCCTTGAGCCTCCAGGAGGGCGAAAACGGCCTCCCTCTGGGTTCGGGAGCCCGGAAATGGGCTGTTTTTGGACTTCCGGTAGGCCTGTTTTTTGCCCTCCCCAGGCTCCGGAGGCTTTCCTTGAGCCTCTGAGAGGGGGAAAACGGCCTCCCCGGCTCGGGAGGCCCTTCAGAGGCTGGAAAAGGGCCCGTTTTCAGTCTTCCAGAGCCTCTGTGTGGGCCCTGCACTTACTTGGCGTCAAAACAGGCTGCATGGAGACTCGTGGGAGGGGCGGGGCAGGGCGGGGTTGGCAGGGTCAGCCAGTTCTTGCAAAAATGGTTCGGTGAACCAGGTTAAAATTAACATCCGATTCTCCCGAACTGGCTGAATTCCACCCCTGTTACCAGGCCTCTTTTACCATAAATGCAGAGGCACCGTAGAATCATTCTTTGCACATAATGGAAAACAGTGTAGGAAATGCATGTAGTTCAGAGAGGTGGTATGCAAAATAGATCAGCTTAGATCTAGAGAGAAGAAGGTGTGATGCTTCTTCAGCTTTTGTATCACCAAAACAACGGAAGAAAGCATTTTTTGAGTTTTGTTTTGTTTTGCACTGAATATGCCAGAGCAGGGAAGAACTCTTTGTATACTTGGACCTTCTCTTATCTTTCTTACCCATTGCAATTTGTAGTGAAGGATGATGGAAATGTAATATAGCAACATCTGTGCAACATTACTGTGGGGGCACCTACTATCTGGAACGAGCTCCCCCCAGAGATACGGAGGATCCCGGATCTGCGCACCTTCCGCTGCGCCTTAAAGACCTTACTATTTCACCAGGCCGGCCTGGCCTAATTTTCCCCCTCTTTTATAAAAGATTTTTTAAAATTTTAAATATCTTTTGTATTTTATATATTCAATTTTAAATTGGTTTTAAAAGTTTGGGGTTTTAAATTTGTCGGGGCCAAAATTATTTAATTTGATTTTATTCTATTTTTAAATTTTGTATTGTATGTGTTTTTATTGTTTGGCTGTGCACCGCCCTGAGTCCTTCGGGAGTAGGGCGGTATAGAAATCTAATAAAATAAATAAATAAATAAATAAATTACTAGCCTTGAGTGCCCACCTATTGTTTACTGGGTGCATTTTGGGAACGGGAGTAGAAGGTAATCTAGTCTACCTTGTGAATGAGGTTGTTTAAAAGGAGATCCATTCTCCAATCCCAGACTTTTTGTGGAAACTTCATATCATCCAATTACTGCTTACTAAGTCCTTTCCTGTTCGACCACATGGCGGGAATAGATTGCAAAATGTGTACGTCAGTAATCCTAGAACATTTTTTTAATTATCCACCAAATGCATCTTCTTCCATTACATACAACTGCCTTAAAATGTGGGATAGTAGGATTCTTCCCTGTAATGTAAAGAAAGCTTAATGCACTGCTGGAATGAGCACTGAGCTAGGCACCACAGAAGTTTACAGAAGAAGAAATTATTTGGCTTAAATTGTAGAAGAGAATTCATTATAATTTCCATTGTCTGGTCTTCCTGAGATCTCAGATGAGGTTCTCCTGAAGACTGAGCTCTTAATGGCCAACAGTCAGGGGAAATATGAAGAGTGGTCCAATAATTTTTCTTCATGTGGAGAAAAGCAGAAACTGTCCCCTTTTCTCCTACAAGAAGGAAAACATCTTTTCTCCGGTTATCCAAGAGAATATTCTCCATATCTATCTAATGTATTGTAGATGTCATCAGGAATGTGTGCTTATAGTATTTCTTTACAGCTTTTGATAACATTGGGTCCTTAACAGGGGTGAAATCCAGCAAGTTCTGACAGGTTCTGGAGAACCGGTAGCGGAAATTTTGAGTAGTTAAGGAGAACTGGCAAATACCACCTCTGGCTGACCCTGGGGTGGGGTGGGGTGGGAATAGAGATTTTGCAGTATCCTTCCCCTGAAGTAGGGTGGGAATGCAGATTTTGCAGTATCCTTCCCCTGCCACTCCCACCAAGCCATGCCCACCAAGCTACACTATACCCACAGAACCGGTAGTAAAAAAAATTGGATTTCACTACTGGTCCGTAAGTTAAATCTAGAGAGAGAGAGAAAATCAGTCCCCTGGACTAGATTCAACCCTTTCCCTGGAGCAATCAAGTACCCTGAATATATCTGCTGAAATTCTTAATGATTATGTTCGTTAAGCAAATTATTGTTATTCACTCTTCTTCATCCCAGCCTCAAAAGGGCAAAGGAGAACACAGCCTCGGAAGGTATAAAAACCCACCAACTCAAACATAATGAAAAAAATGTCAGTAAGAACATACATCCCTACAAATGGAAGAATTACAACGTAGAATTAACCATTCTTTTATCTGCTTCTTTATTGCAGATAACATGATGCCGGTTTGCAGATGGCTTACAACGATTTCCTGGCATGAAGAGTAAAGCTACAAAGCACAAAACAATGGGGAAAAATATATATATAAAAACCTACAGACAAATGAACTTGGGATAGAACAAGGAAAAACAAAAGTGAATTTTCATGGCGTCGAAGAATTCTTTATTTTTCCTCAAGTTTTCTTTTCTTAAAAAATAAACAAAAATAAACAAAAGGAACCAAGACATTCACAGGAACCATTTCTCTTCAGGTGACAGTACTCAAGCATGTTCTTTTATTACATTTAAATTGAAAAAAAAAAAAAGAAAAACTGAATGAACAATAGTGCTGAGTGAACTGGGGCCAATGGTGATGATATTTGCTGTACACATCCAACTTTCCTTAAAATTCTCAACTTTTAATCCCTCTGGTGATTTTACACTCTATGTGTTTGTAAAGAAACGAGTTCACCCTGCAGTATTTAGAGAATGGTTTGCAAATGTATCTTTTAATATCATATTTTATGGATATTGTACTATATATATATTTAACTAGAATGGGCGTAACCTGGACTTCGAGAATCTTCTCCTTCTAGGCAAAGTGGTTTTCATTTGCTATCAAGAAGACTTTTCGATTATTTAATACTTGGGATTGTTTTACTGAACATTTAAGTGCAGGAAGCAAAACCAGTCATGGACTATTCTCCTTAAGAGAGGAGAATCCAAATAACAAACTGAAATTCCTAGGGGGTTATTTTAAGTCTTATGTGTGTTTTATTTTTCCAAGCGGAGTATAGAAATCAAACTTCTCCAAGGGCCAATTCAACCCATTGCACAAAAGTAAATTTTTTTTAGTCCTGCTACCAAGCATCCATTATAGCAGGGAGCAGGGATATCCCTGGTGTGTGTACCTGTTTTAAAACATACAGTCAGGCACTTCACACTTTATTTTCCTAGCTGTGCACTGAAAACAAACAAACAAACAAAAAAGAAAGCACGGGGGAAGTGGCATTATGCTTACCAAATTGTAATGTGCAATTCAGCTTCCGTTTCTTCCCCCCCCCCAAAAAAATACTTATTCTCTGACTTTTTCTAGGGCCTCCGTTGGATATTTCCTTCTCTATCTTTTTTTATTTTAAATGAGTTCAAACTATAATCATGGCAAACAAAGCTAAGAGAATTGAGCCTATCTCTGCCTTTTTTAAAAAAAACAAACAAAATAGTTCAGACACCAATCGTAGGAAGCAAAGTTGAGAGAATTAAGCCTAGCAAAATTATGCTCTCCATTAGCCCCAATACCATTTCATTTAACAGCTAACTAATCTGCAGCTCTAACCTTCTAGACGATAGGATTGGAAGCCTTCCACTATTGGCACGTTTCTTTCACTCCACCTCCCCAACACCCCCACCCACCCACTCTCCGTCTGAGAGTATATAATCTCTGCACTCTGCGTGTGCTGGTCTTTCTCCTCCTTACTTGCCCTGCCTGCCAATTCTTTCCTGGATCAGCTTCTCGCTGAGGTCCCACAAGGCAGCCGCATCCATTCCGTTCTGCGCCTGTAGCGACGGCAGGCAGCGACAGCAGTTGTTGAAATACATCCCTCCCAGGCCTTCCAGTTCTGCCGCCACAGCACAGTAGACGGTGGTGGCCGCTCCTTGTTGCTGTAATTAAAACAAAACAACGACAAAAGAGAGTGAGGGGGAGACATGTTGTGAACGCAAAGGTTAGAATCAGACAGGCTTGACAAAGCCCCGTGTGCTCATCAAGGGCAGATTAGCAACTTGGACCGGATTCAGAGTAAGACCAAAAGGGCCTTGCCCTGTGCCATCCATCTTATAATTAGTGGTGTCTAGTTAAGTGTGAGTGAATCCATCTTTTCTCAGATGAGTAAGGATGCTCCTTTAAGGAGCAGCTCAATAAACGTAGCTGGAGAATCACGTGAATTCTAGCCTTTTCCCCCCACCAATCCATCTGACGAAGTGTTGTTCCAGGAAAAGCATGATTTAGAAGGGAAAGGCGGATGGCTGAATCCAGCCTAAAGTTGATCACCTGTTCCTATGAGAGAGAGGGAGAGGGAGAGGGAGAGGGGGGAAAGGGAGAGGGAGAGAGAGAGAGAGAGAGAGAGAGAGAGAGAGAGAGAATAATTTCTAGGGCTGTCCTTTGCAATGGTGCGCAGTAGGAATAGACCTCCAGGTACAGATTATGAAGTGCATCGACATTGAAGTAACAATGGACATAATTCCAGAAGATGCACAATCTGCGTTTGTTGCAGAGTCAACAGCAAAGGTCTTTCTCACTTCACACACCCCATGAATAAGCAGTGCTGAAATGAAAGCTCGCTAAGATCTATGAACACGCTTCTGCAAGATCTCCCAACAGTTTTTGGTGGGGGAGAAGAGAAAGGTGAGGGCGACTACATCAGCAATTCCATGACAGCAACTGGGGCTAGGAGAAGATACCAACTCCTGTCCTAGGAAAGGAAGGAAATAGTCCACCTTGCTTCTACATGGGTTGGATTCCTATGACTTGGCCAAATTAAGCCATCCAAGCAATCCAAGTCATCCATTTGGATTGGATGAAGGGATCCATCGCAAGTGTCAAATGTTGCCCCAAATATTTTTACATTGAAAAGAATTATCCCACCTGCAAGTCTGTTGTTAACTTTAATAGGACAATTCATTTGGAGAATGAAATTGAAGTTAGGTCAAATCCCAAATATCCTTTGGGATTCCAGACCCTGTTTGGCCAAGTAGATAACTGGGGTCGCACTCTGATTTTTTATTCCAAATAAACTTAGAGATGTCCACCATGTCAGCGGCATAGAACACAATTGGAAATGTTGCCAAAATTGTCTATGTCAGGGGTCTCCAACTTGGCAACCTTAAGCCTGGAGGACTTCAACTCCCAGAATTCCCCAGCCAGCTTTGCTTTGCTGGGAGTTGAAGTCCTCCATGCTTAAAGTTGCCAAGGTTGGAGACCTCCTGGTCTATGTGCATGCATACACACACATATGCCAATGAAGTCTTAGTTGGTGGAAAAGGATCTCTCCTAATGAGAGATCATTGGAGAATGATGTGATGGCACTCGCCTAAAGATCTAACTTGTTAGCAAATAGCTAAAGTGGGCTTTTGGGCTTTAAGGTATGGACTTAAAACTAGTTCTGGAGCTGTTATGACACAATGGGAAAATATTATTAAATTAGAGTGGAGTTTCAAGTGTCTGAATTTGGGGAAAAGGATGGAGATTTGCTTTGCGATCTATTTAAAGACATGTGGCTACTTATATTCCAATAAGAAGTTTCAAATCTAGAATCTGGCAGCTTATTATTTTCAGTGGAAGATACTTTTTTCCCCTTGTTTCCATGTCTGGTAATGTGTTTTTTTATAAGAGGAGAATCAAGAGAGTTGGTTAAACTACCTTCTACTATTTTTGTGAAAATATGACATAAATTACTCATAGCCCAATACAGAAACTCTCTTTTTTAGTTAGTCTTTCAGCAAGTTTGAATAATTTTATACCATAAATATCTTACATTATGGATCAATACGAAGAATAGTTGTCATTTCTAGTGTGATTTCTAAATATTTCTTTTCCTAAGGTTAGAAGAAAGGTAATACTAACTATGCAAAATATTATTATTTCCCCTTCTTCCAAACTACATATTATCCAAATTTCTGAAAAGTCTCAGCCCAGTTATGAAATTAAAGGGAAGGAGGTTACTATCTGTTGTTTATGCTAGTGTGAATATAATTAATATATATGGGGGGGGGGGGAAGTAGGAATACAAAATAAAAACAAATATTATTTACTGTATAATATTATTATTCATAACAATGCCAAAAGAAGAAGAAAAACCCATTGTGAATTAATTGTACGCGTTAAACACCCTCCCTCATTACATAGATCACTTATTGCTCAGGCTATGACCCAACTAAATTGAATGTTTGTCAAATAATCACAGGCATTTTAATTAGTGCTGTCACTGAATTAAAGGAATTTGAGCTGTGTAATTGGATGAGGTTTAGTCAATTGGCGGCCTTTGTGTAAATTTGCATAACCTAATTTGCGCATGTGTCTACTTACATAAGACCAACAGAAGTGAAGGGAGCCCTAGTTTCTTTTGCTTGAGCTTTTTCCAAGAACATGATCTGTTCAGTCTTGCTTTCTTGCTGGAGGAGATTCCTGCGAGTTTGGGTGCTAAAGAAACAGCTTTTTTTTTTTTTAATTGATTTATATGCTGCCCTTCTCCGGAGACTCAGGGCGGCTTACAATGCATTAAGCAATAGCCTTCATACTTTTGTATATTTTATACAAAGTCAGCTTATTGCCCCCACATGATCACATGATCACGAGGATGCTTGCAACGGGTGTAAGTTTGAAAAACGACCTTAAGTCGCTTTTTTTTAGTGCCGTTGTAACTTTGAATGGTCACTAAACAAACTCTTGTAAGTCAAGCACTACCTGTATTCAATGGGCAAGAAGATACGTGGAGAGTTGGGAAATGATCTCAAACCGCTAAGGAAGTTTACTAAGATTTCTGCCTGTTCAACGTAGCACCGTTTTTGAAAGGCATTGGAGCCTCATTCAGTATAGAATATTAGTACTCTGTTTCCCCCAAAATAAGACATTCCCTGATAATAAGCCCAATCGGGCTTTTGAGCACATGGCAATAAGGCCAAGCGCTTATTTCAGGGTTCAAAAAGATATAAGACAGGGTCTTATTTTCGGGAAAACACAGTATCTATCTATCTATCTATCTATCTATCTATCTATCTATCTATCTATCTATCTAATCTATCAACACTACCTACCTACCTACCTACCCTGTTTCCCCCAAAATAAGACAACCCCTGATAATAAGCCAAATTGGGCTTTTGAGTGCATGGCAATAAGGCCAAGCACTTATTTCAGGGTTCAAAAAAAATATAAGACAGGGTCTTATTTTCGGGGAAACACGGTATCTAATCTATCATCTATCTGTCATCTATCTATCTATCTATCTATCTATCTATCTATCTATCTATCCATCCATCCATCCATCCATCTATCTCTATCTACCCTGTTTTCCCCAAAATAAGACATCCCCTGATAATAAGCCCAATCAGGCTTTTGAATGCATGGCAATAAGACCAAGCGCTTATTTCAGGGTTCAAAAAGATATAAGACAGGGTCTTATTTTCGGGAAAACACTGGTAGCTGGTTGCTACTGCATAGGCATTTGGGTGAGGTGGATAATTGCAATCAATTAAGCAATGAATACAAATTAATATTGAACTGTCTTAATGCTACAGGGGAAGAGGGCATTTTCATAGGCATGTATGGTTTTTAAAATCTCATTATTATAAGTAATGCAGCCATTAGTATTCTAATGTAGTCTAGTGCTCCTGGTGGAAAGACATTATAGGCCTTAAATGTTTAGTTTTCAGACGTTGCTGTTTTCAAAGTGTTTATGTTTGCTAAAATTAGCATCCAGCCCTAAAACATATCAGCCCCATACACACAAAGGAAAGAAAGGGAAGGGAAGGAAGGGAAGGAAAGGAAACTTTAAATGACATTAAAAGTTCAAAATCAACTGTAATCAATATATTTTGAAAAATCACTATGGCACTTGTATTACTCCATGCCATCACCGATATGAGTCTCTTTCCTGTGTTAAAATAAAATATAATTTGCTGGCACTTTATAGAAGGACCATTCATGTTTTGGGGATCAGTTGTGTGTCGGGATCAGTTGTGTCTCTACCTGTGTTGTAGAAATGTTTAGAGTTGTAGATGCGTTGAAAGGTTGGTTTTTATTTATAGAAGTACAACATTTCTCAATCAGAAAGTAATTTGATTTCATTTTAGTTACCTATGTCTCATTAAGATGCATTAGGGAGCTGAACGATAGATATAGCTTGATCTGGAATATTGGTAAGCAGAAATGGTATATTTTTATGATTTAAGAAACCGGGGTACTGAATTCCACATACTGTATGTATTTCTTTGGATTTTCAATTTTTTTGTTGGGTTAGACAGCAGCTTCTGTTTTCTAATGATATTTTTTGGTTAATTGTGCTACAACATAGAATCAAAAATAGAGATTCCTACCCTTTCCTTGGCTTCCATACCACAGAGAGTTAAACATGACGCAAGATAGTGAGTTAATTTCTTAATTCACTTTGAACAGGAGCTAGGAGCTGCCAAAGATTTTGGGATGGCAACCTAATGTGTGTTGTGATTAATTCGGATGGATGTATAAGAAAGTAAAAGAAAAAAGTGGAAGTCCTGACAAGTATTGGACAACCAATCATCTCTCACCAGATGGAGGATAGTGACTTATGATCCCAGTCCAGGTCTTATTCTGATTATTATATGCTCACGTTGTCAGGGAACGTTCAACTGTATTAAGAGTTCACTAATGGGTGTGTACAGGCCCAAATACAGAAACGATTACAATAATTTAAATATTGTACATTTGTTTCATGAGGGGAAGAAAAATACATTTTTGTGTGTGCTGGCTGAATTTATTGTTGTTGACATATTAATCATTTATGGAGAACTCCAAATTTC